GATAGCTGTTGCATATTTATTTTTATAATTTTTTATTTTGAATCTTTATATGTTTGCTGCCCAGACAGATAATACCGAGACATTGACCTTTTTTCGCTGAGACTAAGCGCAATTTTTCGTTTCTTTTCTTCTCTATTCAGCTTGATTCTTGGCTCTCGGCTCTCAATTCTCGGTTCTTGGGGCTCTCGTTCTTTGTTGTCAGATTAGCCGGCCAAGTGGATAAACCAGTTTTCGTTTCTGCCACTCTGCCGTCTTCTTCGCCGTCTGATTCTTGGCCCTCCATCTCTGTGTTTTGTCCATGTTCATGTTGCTTGACTTTGGCTAATTAGCCAAGAGTGGATGTGGTTGTTTTCCTGTGCTTGTGAGCCATGCCCCGCCTCGAATTTCGTAATGTTGAACTAAGGAAAATCTTGCCAAGCAAACAAATTAGTTAAAGTGGCGAAAAAAAAGTCACACGGCTTATCAAGGTCTTTAAATTTGAACTTTTATTAAATTGTTACAATTTATCTTGCATAAATAGGCATCCAAATATTTTAAAATCTTTAAAATGCAAAATTTTCATAGTTTAATAATGGTATGTTATGCTTTAATTAAATTGTTAATATTTATCTAGCATAAATAGACATCCAAATATTCTAATATTTTTAAAACTCTATCTCTTTAAAGTTCAAAAATGGTATGTTGCTATAAAAAATTGGTTAGTCCCTTTTTCTCCACCTTAGCTGACTATTTCACAATAAAAATGGATGAGTCCCCAGAGGCAGAGGTTTACTCAGGTTTTCATGACTCACCTCAATGCTTTCTACCTTTTTCGCTCTTTCTGCTTTAACAATGGATTTGCCTTGTTGAAATAAATAAGTAGAATCTGAATCTGATACATACATGTAAATGAGTAGCTAACTTATGTGAAAAGTTTATATATAAAGTTATGGGAGTCATGTAAATTGGAAACCTTGGCACCTGCAAGTGAGAATAAAAGTAAAAGGCAACCAGAAACTGAAAACAAATACTCTGAATCGTTAGAAAAGATATAAGTTCTGTAGATTCACTTGAAGTGACGAAAGCTAAATTAAATTAATTACCATGAGCAACCCCATTTGTTTAATAACCAAATACCCCCGAAGGAAAATAGTTGGGGGGAAAACGCCGAGATACAATTACCCAAATTGTCTACTAAAATTATAAGAGTACCTCCGTTGCTCCACCCTTAAAATAATATCCTCCCCTGAAATCCTTCTCTCGTCAATTATCCCGGCAAAGTACGTAATTATTTTTGTTGCTCCAAGGGTTCTTGGGTGAAAATGTTAACTTTGTTTCCGCCTGATTGAGCATTTGTTTCAATGTTATTGTCTATGGGTCATTTGCAGCTCCCTTGTGTTGTGTTTCATTTTAAGCTCTGATTATTGTGGTTTCTTTTGTTTCTTGTGATTCAAGTTCATAGTAAAATACTGTAGCACTTATATCACTAAACATTTTAAAGGAATTCGAATTTTTACTATCCTAAGTGGATGTATTTAGAACATTTGTAATCAAACCAAAAGTATTTTTATAGGTACATAAATACAAAACATATATTTATAATTGTTTCACGTATCATTTACGAATAATTAAAAGCAAATTAAAAAAGTTATGGAAAAGTTGAAAATTAGAGGATGCACTGCATCAATAATTTATAAAAAAAACTCAGCTGCACACATTTTCTTTCACAAACAATTTAGAAATATTTAACGGAAAATTATGGATAAAAGAAAAAATTAGCTCTATTTGAAATTGCTAAACAGATAATATGTTAGCTAATCGGAGACTCAAATAAGATCGTTTCGAAACTTACCATTTACGATGATGATGAAAATGATCGATACGAATACAATGTTGAAAATACATTTTGATGACATTATATGCGATGGGGATCCAACGTGGATGGTGTTCGATTAAACAGAATTAGCACAAATTTCTGTTTGTTTAGTTTTTTCGGGGGTCGTTGTTTGGTTTTAATAACTTTAGTAATAATTTCCTTTTGGCAGTAGTTGGTTGCGTTTCTGGGCACCTCACGCTCCACTCTTCGCGGCTTTTTAATCAGAGCTCTGCACTTTCCATGCCATTTACAAATTTAGCACTTTTTGCATGGACCATAAAACTTCGCAGCACTTTTTCGCACGCACGAATTATTTTCGCTATTTTTTCCACTTTTTTTTTGGGCTCTTGTCACGTACACTTTTTGCTTTATTTTTTATTTTAATCCAATATTTTTACGTTAATAAATTAAAAGCGAAAATAAAAAATCAACTTATTATATGTTTATTTTCTGTGTTTATTCACTGGATGTTTTTCTAAAGGTAAAATAGAAAATATTATACACTGGCACTTTTTCTTTTTAATAATTTCCCGGTAAGAAGTAAAAAAATATACAAATTTCTGTTTTATATATAATTGTTTATGTTAATTCTGTTTCTATACATTTTTTTAAGAAATCTTTTTGAGTCACTGGATTTTTTAATACTTTTTATGAAAACTAGTTTTCTTGCGAAAAACCAAAACAAAATTGAAAGCAAAAAGTATTAAACAAAAACAATACAAGCAAACAGAAAATCACAACAGAACGGGTCTTGGCCTCTCGCTCGCACTCGCACAAAGACAGTGGGCAAGCGCAAAGAAGAGAGCGAAGAGACAAATGCAAACAGAGAGCGAGAGAGAGACAGCTGCGGCGCAAACGCAACGAAATGCATTAAATTAATTATTGTTGCTTTTAGGACTGTTGTTGTTGCCACAATAGAAACAAATCGATATGTTTACAAAAATGTTTGAAATAAATAAATAAAACATTTTGGTAAATCTTTTAATTTATAACACTTGACTAGTGTACTATTTTGTTAAGCTAATTTAACCATGTTTTTTTGCATGTTTACTTTTTTTCGAGCCTCTTTATCTCCTTCCTTTCCTCTCTATCTCTCTTTTGTGTTTTCTTCTCCGACTGCCTCTCCGTCCTGCTCTCTCGCGCTCTCTCTTCCGCTTTGTGTTGCGTTGCCCGTAAATTAAATGCGTTGAAATGCAGCCATTTTGTCTCCGCAATTGGCACTCACTTGAACTCCCGTCGAATTTTCTGTTTAGCCACAATTCTCAATTGGCCAGAAACGGGGGCATTTTATTTGATTAGCTCGCACATTTTCCAGGCCCGACTTGGCGATTTATTTATTTATTTATTCGCTCACCCGCTCGCACACCCACACACACGCACACTGGCAAACGCACGCACGCACACCAACGCAGCGAACACGCGTCTAGCGATTTTCCGACTTTCCGACTCCCACGGCGTTCCGAGATCCGTTACAAAGAGATACGCGTCCAACTCGTCCAACTTTTTTTTTGAAACTACCCGTCTTACAACATGTATGTATTAAGTGGGACCAGTCACTGTCGCTTTATTTGTGTGTATTTTTTGCGGACCCAGCAGCGGTCTTACTATCGCTGTGTTCTGTTGGTCACACTGAAAATATTCATCCGATTGCTGCCACTATCGCACGCGACAGGCATTAGTGCATTTTATTTAAATTAGGTTGTAGCATATAACATTTTTGTGGGAAAAGAGTTGGTAAAGTACAAGCGTATTGAAAATTGAATATTGAATATTGTGGTGACGCCACGAGAATTTCCACAGGTTAGAACCTTTGTGACCCTCTTAGGCATTTATAACACCTTCCCGCATACGTTGTTTTACTATATCAAATTTTAAAGCAAGAATTTTGGGAGAACGTTGCATCTTTAAATGGAGCAGGTGCCAGGTCTTGCTGAGAAGGATATATCCTGGAGGGTGGTCATTTCCTTTAAAAAAGCATAGCTGACTTGGACGACTGCAGCGTAAATGTTCGTTCTGGTCCAACAGGTGCCAGGTTTTGCTGAGAAGGATATATCCTGGAGGGTGATCATTTCCCTTAAAAAAGCATAGCTGACTTGTACGACTGCTGCGTAAACGCATTTTATTCTCAAAAAAATTTTGAAACCATTAAGACAGAAATCACCGAAACGTCAAGGACAGAAATCTCATAAGCTCATAAAAAATACAAAAGAACCACTTAAATACTGCAAATGTGGCCCAAAGCAAAAACTACCAGTGTCCAAATATCCTATAAGCTCTTTTTAAAACACAAGTTTCTGTTGGAGAATGCAACAGTCCTTTGCAATATTGTTCTGTTTGCTTATTGGTAGTTTTCTGTTACTTTCGTTTTGTTTATAATACAAATATAATTAAATAACAATTCCATTAAATTATTTTTGATGTTCAGATAATAATTAAGGTCCACCATTGTTTTATACCTAAGTACTTTAAATTTAGTTGAGTTATGAAGTATTGTAACATGCAAAAGATATTAATTTTATATTTATATAAGTCAATTCCATTTAGCTCAGGCGAAACATTTTTCTTATCAATAAGAAATTTGAATCAGCCGCGGAAATAGTAAACTACTGTGTCCCTGGTCCAATTTATCGATAATATCAGTTTGACAGGTGGCATCTTTTGCCTTTTTAGCAGCGCTGCCACTATTGGTTTTAGGCGCCCAATTGGAATTGAAGCTAATTTTAATTTTAATTTCAACTATGACATCCAAAACACACATTTAAACATTTTGGCTTGAACGAATTTGAAAATTATTTTCTCTTTTAAACAGGGCCAATAATTTTAGACATAACAGTAGGGTAATGGATAAAACAAATATGATATGGACCTTTGCATTCCTTCAGGTTGATTGAAAATAAAACCTTAATCTATTTAAAAAAGGATGTTTGTGCTGTATTATTTACTGCAGCTACTTTGAGACAGAAAAGTCTCCTTCAGGGAAATTGAGTACGAACTAAGTACACCTTAGTACCTACCTGTCATTAAAGTGTCAGCCCTTTTGAACTGCGCGCGCACTTCTTCAAGTTCATCGGGACCATCTGGATTTTTTAGTGATAAATACCCAAAGGGGGCCTTGAGTCGTGTCACCTGGCAACACTGCCCCAGATGCTCTTCGTTTGTTGTTGCGGGTGGACGTGCTTGGACGTGCTCGCTCTCTCTCTCCGTTACCGTTACCTCCGCGTTTGCGTATCCGTATCCGTGTGTCTGTCCGCGTTCCCCGTCCGCGTGTGGGTGTGTAGGTGTTAGTGCGAATGTGTGTGTCGCTTTGGTCGCGTGTCGCCGCTTTCATGTAAACGAAGATTGTGCAAAAGGTAAACGCCAAACGGTGGCAACAACAGTGAATGATAAACAGAAGCGAAACAGCAACAACAAAAAAAACAGCGAGCAAACAAAAGTTGTGAAATACTTTTTTGTTGTTGTTTTATTTATTTTGCTCTGGTCTGGTGGCAAGTGGCAAAAGCTATAAAAAAGAATTTCCAACAAAAAACAGGTTTACTGCGAGACCAAGGAGACCCACAGAGAGAATGAGAAGAGCGAGAACACATTTACTGCAAATGCGAATTTAGAATCGCATCGGCTGCCGCACAGTGGTCACTTCTAAACGTGCCCCACTGTGCGCCTAGAACTTGTTTTCTGCTTCTTCTTCTTTCTGCTCCCCCCTTTCCCCACTACCCCTCTTCCCTGCTCCTTTCATTGGCTGTTTTAGAATGCATATATTGTTTATGGGAATCTCACATGCAGCGCCCCGAAATCAATACGAAAAAACAGTTTTCCCCGAAAGAGCCGTTACTTTTCGGGAAAACCCCCGTTCCATTCTGCTGCCACAGAAATCAGCTGGCTCTGCAGTCAGCGCAGCTCTGCCGACGTCGGCAGAGGAGGGACTGCGTCGGGCGCCTAGCAACAGCGGTTAACCTCCGATTCCAGGGACGGTTCAGAGTTGGGCGCCTAAAATCTTATCGGGTTTTGGTTATGTAAGGTGGAATTTGTCAACCGGAAGTTTTTTACCCTTAAAATGTAATTAATACACTTACATGAAGGGTTGTTTCAATAATGATTATAGTCATCTTAAAGCTAAGCAAATATCAGGGATGCCACTGATATATCTTCCACCCTAATTTGAACTCAATGTGCATGGCTTGGAAGATACTTGGTTAGCACCCTCGTATAACTTTTATTTTGACTTTTTATAGTTGTTACATACATAAAACAAAAGAAATTTCTCAAGTGTCAATAGGTTGTTTTCCCAGATTACTTATTATGAGTATAAAAATGGGAAAGATCATTCTGTAGCATGATTTTATCTTATCTTAGAAATACTATATGTGAATAGCTCTTGTACTTAGTTTTCAATATATCTAAAATCGACTTTATAATGTATATCCATATTGGAAAGGGCTTCTGCTTAGTTTTTAACTCTGGCTTGTCTATAAAATCATCATAAGTTATATAGCTAATCAGAGAAATATTTGCAATGTTTTGTTTTTAAATTAGATTTATTTAATTTGAATTATATATTTTCTTGGTAGAAATATTGCAAATTGGTGATATTTTATTTTGGCTCCTACCCTATCCCGAGGTAACTCCGCTCCTTTCCTGTACCGCCGTCAGCTGTGCGATCAGTGCGCAGGCGCCACACACGCACACTCACACACTGATGGGGCAGCTACAGGCAGCAGGATGAAGGCAGAAGAAGAAGCGGACCAGCCTGCTGGTTAACTGCCTGACTTTGGCCCGCAAAATTGCATTGCTGGCGTCTCGCTCGCACGCACTTACTTCGGCAGTAATGCCGGAAAATGGGGAAAATGGGGAAAAGTGTGGGGAAAGCGATGTGGGCCTCGTGCGCGGCTCGAAGTTTCGCAGTTGGCAGTCGGCTTTACATAAGTTGACGTCCGTGGCAGGCGGTACGCTCCTGGAATTCAGTGCCCGGCTGCAGGTCCTTTGCTCAGGTTGTGTGGACGCGCTTTGAGTTTTCAGTTTTTCCGGGGGAGATCAGCTGCTGGCGCTTTGCAACTGGTTCGGATTTTTCTATTTTTCTTTCCTGATTTATTAAACTTTTCATCAGTTCTTTTTTTTCCCCCCGTTTTATTTGTTCTGCCCGCAAACCGGCTGGAAATGGCCAAAAGGTTCGTCGACAGTTTTGTGTTTTTTCAGCTGTTCGGCTGTTTGGGGAAAAAAGTGGTTAGACCTCTTTTTTTATTACACTTTAATTTGGATTTTTTGCCATTATTTATCTCATTTCTCAACTATTGCTATTTGCCGCCTGCGTGGGCCACTTTCAAAAGCTTTTTTTGCGGGGCTTCCGTCGATTAATTTTGGTTTTATTTATTTATTTATTTCGTTTTCGACGAATCATAAAGCCAAAAAACTTGATTTGTGCGCACGGCCAGCAGTAAATCACTTTAACAATATCAATTCGGTCGTAAAACCGTTTGAAAAAACACGTCTATAACGAATTTATCCATATACAAAACCATGCAGCCGAAGTGTTAATCGAGAAACTACAACAAAGACGGAGAAAACAACATGTGAGGCGGCTTAAAAAGTTAACTCTGCCAGTCGAAAAGATGGCCGCCAGGATGTGCAGCATCGTTCCCATCGTCATCATCTAGATTTTAGATGCAGCAGCAGCACTCACAGATACACACGCACACCAATGCAGCCGCTGGCAGCCAGACACTCGCACACCAATACCAATACCGATGCCAGCCCCTCTTAAAGGTGAGTCGCACTTAAAGTTTTACATTTTAAATACCCTGCAGTCGTAAAATTGGGTGAACCGAGAGTCCCTCGAATTTCCGGAGCCGAGTGTGAAAAGATTGCAATCTTAACTATACTAACTTTGACCTCTACTGATTCTTAAAAGTTATACTTAGTTGGCTTGGTGAGGGTTGTACATTATTTATACATAAGCTATGTTATAAGAAAACATGTAAGAATCGCCGAAAACCCTTATTAACTTAAGTAAACTTCTACGATTTTACGAATTTCCCAATTATCATGAAAAGTCAATAAAAATAATTAAAACCTGAGAATACCCGTTTATTTTGGGACTTCTATTATTTTGTCGGTAAACAGAATAAATAGTTTCAATGTAATTATAATTATCAAAAGGTTCCCAAAATGGAAACTTTACGTCATCGAAAATAATAGCTTTCTGCTTATGTATCTGTCGTAAAAAACATTTCTGCAAGGTCATTAAACACATCGGATAGGTATTGTCTAGGGAAATTATTTGAATTCCTTTTTTAAGTAATAGGGCTTGGTTATTTATGGTAAGTTATAATAGTTCTCAAAGAAAGATAAGATTGCATATCTTTAAGTATGGATCTTTAATAGGCTTCCAGTAAAAAGCTTATTCGATAAATAAGGTGTAAATTAAAAAGACAAATTTAATGGTATCTTTAAAAGTTTGAGTCCCTCAAAGACTTTTTGCACATGAAAAGCTTGAATAAAAATTTGTTTTTTGTTCGCCATCAATCCGATTATGAGCAATTCTTTGCCCTTCCTGCTCCTTTTTAAGATAATCTTCAATAAATATATGTGTGCGGGCAAATGTATTTTGAAACCTTCGTCTATCAAGCCTTGTGAAATGTCCAATCAAGACGAGAATCGCATGATGAATGACCTCAGCATTCCCATCAATCTTACACAATTGTCCCCCCTCTCGCCTGCCAGTGAATTTTTGCTTGAATTTCTTTGATATTTGGCGACTACAATCCGTTTGTCTTTCGTGAGTTGATTTTTTGAGCTTGCGTGCTTAGAGCATCTCAAAGTCTAACATTTCTCTTTTGGTTTTAGTTGGCAGGCAAAAAAAAAAAAGGGAAAAAAATACCAAGCGCGAATTTTTATAACCGCTTGGAGTCGGAATTGGAATCGGATTTGAACCCGGGACGAAGCTGGGGATTGCTGGCCAGAGGAGAGTTCAAACCGAGGGCTGTCTTTTTTGTACTCCTTTGGCTTTTTTTTTTGGTTTTGGTCGCGAGCCCATTGAAAAAAGCTCGTCAAACCAGTCGCCGCCGTTTGTGTTTTGTTTTTGCTCTTTGCTGGCTGTTTGTTTCCTAGGCCTGGGCAAACTGGCCCCCGTTGATGACTTTTTACATAGACGCTGCTGTTGGCCCGAAGAGATACCGACTGAGATACGAGAGCCAGAAAACCCAGACTCAACTAACAACAGACAAAACATACACGTATCTAAACTTGTTTGAAACGTGTTACATTTTAAGAACGTTCGCCGCAAGCGGCAAGTGGCAATAATCCTTTCAAACTTGACAGTGCTGCCATGTTTGAGAACGCGAAGGGCCTGTGTGCCCCAGTGGGAGTGGCATGGATTCATGGATTCTCGCCACTTTTTTTAGTTTTCTTTTTTTTTTTTAAGCTAGCATGTGTATCGATGTATCTATGTATCCGGATCTCTATATGCTGGCTGTCAGTCTTTTTGCCTCTGCAGACATTTTGGCTGCCTTTGTTGCTATCATAATGTTTTTTTTTTCAGCACACGGTTGTTCTCCTTTTCTCCCGAAATCCCACACAAAATGGTCATAAAGAATGGACGAGGGGGAAAAAAAAGTGAAATTGATATTTTCGCACAAATTGCCGTTAACAAGGATTGGTAGATGAAGGGGGTGCTTGGAAGCTAGGCAACGAAAAATTTGCCTGTCAAAATTTGGTTGAAAATATGCAGCAAAAATGAAATGGGGGAAGAAAAAAAAACTACGGCTAGGTGCAAACGGGAAATTGTTTACCGTGGTTCCAAAATGATGTAATTTCGCGTGTTCGTGCAATTCAATTTCCTGCCAGCGGAAGCCCGTGTCGCTCTGTTCGCCCATTGAAGTCAAACATTCATTCCCGACCCCATCATCAGCCTCCTCCCTTAACAGTGGACTCCCACCCCCACCCTCAAGCACCCAGTTTAAAATATTGTCCAAAAATTGTTTGGCAATTCCAGTCGTTTTTTTCTACACCCGCCCCCCAAAACTTTAATTGTCCCCCAACCAAACTTCGTTGAGCATACAGTGCCAGAAAAATGGCAAGATATTTGTGTGCATATGTACATATATTGGGGACTACAACAAACATGTATTATGTAAAATTCAATTTAGCTGAATTTGTGCTATCTTAACAGCTCATCCGTTCTGGACAGCAGCCTCCCCCCCGAAGAGTCAATAAAATTAAGCGTATATCTTTTGGAAAGGCAGGGTAGTTCTTAACTTGGCTACTAAACGATTAACTTGCATAAAAGAAAATTAAAAAAATAGATTTTTTATTAGGAGAATAGCAGTCTATGTATCATCTGAATATCGAAATATAGCACTATATACTTATATATTTAAAGTTTGATAAGAAATCTTTAAGTTTTAGTATATTTCCTTGGATAGGGCAATAAAAAACTTTTAGTTTATCTAGTTCTTAAGGTTTCAGAAGTTTTATTTTCGAATAACACATTTTTTAAACCATAAAATATCTAACAATCGACTAAGAAAACCGCAAATATCTTCCAGAAGTGCATTTGAAGTTCGCTATTTATTTGCGTATATAATTTCCAAAGAATATTTGCCATATTTCTCATAAATAAATTATATTGAAAAGACGTACCCCCGGTCAGTGGCTGCCTCTGTAGCCCGCTGGCTTTCGTTTTGGCCGGGCCTGGCGGGCATTGCCTATATTAACAATAATTCCTTTGTGCCCGGGCATCTTGCCAAAAAGTTGGCGACCGCCTGCTCCTGGCACAGCAGGCGACGAACGTTTTGTGGCCAATTTCCCGTACCCAAAGGCCGACTTTTTGTGTGACCCATTGTCAAGTCAAGTCAAGCCGGACAAGGCCTACTCTCGACCATTTTTCCCACTCTGCCACCCTCGCAATATGTACTCTCGTAGTATGACGTTTTGTCTAGAGTTAAATTCAAAAGTTTGCGAGAAAAAAGGCAGTACCAATGCGGCAGCGGGGTGAGCGAACTGCAAACTTTGGAGTCCATGACAACCAGTAAGACTGCTGGAAAGACCATTGATTGAACCTGGTCATGCGGTTTGTTTGGATTTCTTAAGTTGCGCCATCCGACCTTCTTCGAGGTTGCTAAAAATAGTCAGAAGACGTGCAATCTTTGGAGTGAGCATTTAAGACTTTTTTTTTACTACATGTATTACAACACAAACTTTTGTCTAACAAAGGAAGTATAAGGAGTATAATGTCAGACAATAAAGTTATGAAAACATTTTCGAATATGAAAAGGATATATATTGATTGCTTTGAACAAAGGAATATATGGTGTTTTAAATTAGGGAAGCTTAGGATTGAATACTTTGTTTTTTATGGCTCATAACATTTGATTTGAATCAATAAACTCCATAGACCCACACCAATAAAACTCAAAACCAATTGGGCTACATAAATTTTTGTTGGTTACTATTGTAGATATAGTAGTAAGCCCCGTTGAACCTCAGAGTGGCCAGTTCGTAGTGCGAGGTGCCACTCACTGGACTGGCAGCCACCCGGACAGGTGATGCGGTGAAGCTGAGGGTTCGGTAGAAGAAGGCCGTGAGGAAGCTGCAACTGACCACGAAGGCCACAAAGAAGCCCAGACAGAAGACACAGTCCTTGTTGACCTGCAGACATAGGCAGAAGGCTCCAAAACAATCGCCAATTGAGCGACCAATTCGTGCACATATCGTTTGCCGAAGCTGGGGAGGATTGGGCGGTAGATTGTTGCCACTGATGGTGATCGTGTGCTGGGATCTTTCGCATGGCGCTCGGTTTCGATCTGTTCTAACGGTGGTCAGATCCAAACGGAATCGTCGTGGTTTTGATATTAACTCAGCCGTCTGAGTGCCCAGTTCGCAGTATTGCGGAACTGGTAGAAAAACAGCTGGACGGCATTCCTGGCGCCCTTCAATGCCATCCACATTGCGGGAGAAGTAATAGAGCAGTACCTTATGCAACTGCTTAGGGGTTTCTACCCTGACGGGGATAGATATCTTGGTCTGAGGATCCTCAGTTAACAGCTGTTGTCTCTTTTCTGCGGACTGGCTACTCGTACTGGGCGCATCATCTATATCGAAAGTCACACGCTTGCCCAACATTTGATCCGAACTCGATGGAGATTTCACCTGGTCAGAACTCACAGGATTCTCCGTCTCAGTGGCGCCTAAATTCGCATCTGGCAGATACACAACATGGGCGTTTTCAGCGGCTGGTGGCATATTTATGATCACTTGATCTTGAGAATCCGATGATGACGGGCTTTGGCCTTCATCGTTTTTATATTTTCTTTTATTCATTTATTTATTTTTTGTGCTTTCAAAAACTGGGAATTTTCTGTATGATGTGCGGATACCAAAACTGAAAGCTGAATTTACTTCCGGTGTGATAGTTGTCAACGCTCGTGTCGTATGGCCGAAATTATGTTGGCTTCAGTTGGTTGTAAAACATTTTTCGAAACTTTTCAAAATTTGATCTGTGGACGCTATAGACTCCATGGCGTGCAGGGAGCCACCACAGACTGCGATCGTCATTAACTTGCTGATTGGCGATTTGGTTCAGGATGCCGTCAATGAGCCGCTCAAGCTTTCGGAGCAGAAGAACACCTGCCAGCGGCTCTTCGACATTTTGGGCTTCCAGGCCGACGAATGTTTTGAGGACGTGGAAGGCAGTGATGTGGCCATAACACCCAGTTCGAGCACCCTCCAGACCACTTCAAAATCGCGCCCAGCCGAGGCCAAGAAAAGAAATTGGTATGGTTGGATGTCCAAGGCATTGGCAGAAGGTAAGAACTTGAATTTCAATGTAGGGTCCTTAAAATCGGTCGTTCTTTGAGCCGTCGTTATAATAATGATTCATAATTTTGGTGACACCTTTCCGTATTTGATGACTTCAACAACTTATAAGAAAAAAAATTGTTAACGGTCATACATGCCTGCAAAAAAGACTTACTTCTTAATCTATTTCTTAAATAATTCCCAAAAAAAAATATGTTTTTAAAGATAGACTTCACATTAAAAATATTAAAGATAAAATATAGATTTGACAGTATTAAGATTAAAGGAACACATTGTTTCCATTTTATTTCATAACTATTCATATCAGCGGCACGGGGTTGCTTTCTGTTATACTGTACACTGTTTGTGTGGCGACAAAGAGCGATCAGAGCTATAGTCTAAGCCCGCTTTACGGGAAGCTACCGACCGCTAATGTTTCTAGTTGATTTTTCATGTACCCCTTTAAAACCAAAGAACTCTGATAAATTTTGAACCCCACAGAAAATTCCGAAGACGACGTTGAGATCTTCAGGAAGGATGGAAGCGACGGGCAGAAAAGTATCCACTCGATCGGAGTGCAAACGGAGCAGCCGCGCCGACAGCTAAGATCGTGTCCTGTGGACTTTGCCCCAACTCTTGCACCCTGCGAACTGACGCGCCACACGGTTTTCATCGATGCTATTTCCGTGCCAATACCGAATGTACTCAATCGACCGCCGTTAGCCGATCGCTTTTGCTATATGTTGACCGATTTTGCATCGGCGCTATATTGTAGTCTCGCCATAATGTGTTGTTGCACCCCCAATATGTTGAGATAAATTCCAAAGACAACGGGCCTCTAATATTCCAAATAGCCAGTGGTTTTATTTAATTAACCAAGATCGAAACTAATGCATTTATCCCAACAATTTGGGCTGAGGACCGCGCACCAAGCTGCGCTTCAAGTCGATCTGCTGGTTGACATTGGTATGCAGGAAGCCATAAAAGTGGCTTAACAACAAGTAAAGACACCACATGCACAGGACAATGAAAAGGGCAAAGGTTATGTTCTCGCCAATCAAGTAGGCGCCGGCGACTATCGTATCCCTAGTCTGCACAAGGACGTGCCACATCCTTTGGCGCAGCGGAGCCCTCTGCATATCCGTGGCCGAGGTCACCGACTCCACCTCGATGTGGATCGTGTGCTGCAGGACCTTGCTCGGCTTCTCCCTTTCCGGGTCAACAGTTCCGCCCACGGCTGCCAATTTGGCCTCCAAATCGGTACCCTCGGCTTGTTTCTGATCCACGGCACTCCAAGAAGTCTGACTGCTAACCTCACAAGAGGGTTTCAACGTAACATCCGATAGTTGAGTGAGACTCGATGCTCTCTGCTCCAAATTTTCATCTTCTGTAAAGATCAAAAACAATTAGGCCCATTTTTGTTGGATATTAATGGTTAATTGTCTTTGGTTCCATACTTGGAAATCAAAGGATGCCAACCAACAAATAAATTAAATTCGAAAGTTTAACTAAAGGCCGTTTTCTCAATGTCTTGTTAAGGTTATAGTTTCTAGACTATCCGAGAAAGTTAAAATAAACATAAATTGTTGGGCAAGACAAATTAGTTTTCTTAATCTGATCTTAATTTTACAAACGAAAACAACTGATTTTTTTTTAAGGCAATGGTAATGTGAACCTAAAAAGGAAAACTTTGTTTTAAGTTTCGATTAGTCGACCTACAATTTTTATTAGAACACTTCCTCCAGTTAAGAGTTTTCAGTTACATAAACACTAACTTGATATTGATACTGAATTAACATTAACATTATTTAACTCTATGACAAAAGTTAACATGACGTGGTGAAGTCAGGCCCTTAATCTACAAATAAAAATGTATTTTGAAAATATTTTAAACATAATTTGATATCTTTAGTTCATTATGAAATTGTTGTGTGTTCTTTTGTTTAGAAAATTGTTGTTTTTGCATCATGAATAAAGAGCCCAACTTAGAGCGCTAGTGAAAATATTTTAATAATAAAATGAATTATGATTCTGCAGTGAAAAGTCTACGCAGCTAAATGAATGAGAACCGTAAAGAAAAACGGTCGATTGCGCGAGTTAATTAAAAATGTCTTTCTGGTTGGACCTTTGTGACCAGGTTCTTTGTTTCCTTACAACAATAGGGGTGCAAATAATGGAACGCATCTCACCTGCCTTCAAAGCTAATTGCTCGGATAGGACTCGCTTCAGCCGGAAAGGAGCCCCAACATGATGCACGTGCTCGCTGTCCAGGAGTTTGGTGTAGTCCTCGAACAAATTAAGAAGCTCGGTGAAGCGCTTGCTGATCTGCCTATGACTCAGATGGATCTCTTTTAGGTAGCCGGGAATCGGGTTATTAGGAACTTGGCCATCCTTATTCTCAATGTTCCAGCCAATAGGTGGAGCTTCATTTTCATTTCCGAAATTGTTTTCCACTTTTTCAACTACGGGAGAGCTATCATCTCCAGAAGCATCACTCTTTGGACTCAGCATGTGGAGGTCTTCTAGTCGGATTTAGTGTGTTTTTACTGTGAAAATCATGAGTGTGAGAGTATAAAGTGAGTTAAATTTATTTCCTACCAATCGTGTCATTTCAAAACCCGTCTGTCCGAATTTGTATAGCCAAAGGGTTGCTTTATCTGCCTCAAACGACCCTGACAGCCCTGCAATTGAGCCTCGTTGGCCAGTGGATAATTTTTGCGCTAAATTAAGCAATTTCCTATCCTGTCTGGCCGGCAGGTCCAAAGGCTTCTGTCCATCGACACTTCAGGGTCGAATCTCGTCTATGGATTTCCCAGTCTAAAATGACAATTATGACGGTCTACTGCACTAATGTTATTTTGCATAAGTGCATTTTAAGAACCAAACCAAAGCAGGGGGCTGCTCTGAAAATGAGTTTGCATTTGCCAGGTAAAAAAAAGGTAGGAAAAATAAAAGAAGTACGGAAAAAATACAGTCCGTCACCTTATAAAAATCTTCCTTTCTATCTTTATTTTTTAAAAGTCATATTAAATTAAATGACAAATCGTAACTTCTATTTCTTAAGATATTTGCAATTAAAATTAATATTTAACCTTTGAAACATACTTCTGTAACGTCAAAGTTTAAACAATTCATTGAATTCCACACCCATTTTTAGATTCATTACTTTCTTTAATGTCCAAGCACAATAAATTGTTGAAAATAAAAACTTTTGATCCTGGCCACCCATAAACTGTTATTTTATTATCTGATATATATTTTTTCATATTCGCTTTAGAGCCAAATTCATCCCCCAGATTTAAACCACAATTTCCGTTCAATGGCAAAAAGCTGTCTCCGTATATTTCATAATTTGTTCGAGGGAAACTTTTCGATGAAACTCTATTAAAGGCAGGGACATAATAAATTCATGGAATATCTCGAGTTGGCTGCTAAAGCATTGAGGATATATATATATATGTGTATGGCATGTGGACAGTACGCACATTTGTTGGGGGTAAAAATTGTGGAGAGTGGGTGACTACCTATAGTAAGTCCTCTTGCGTCCAGTGCGCACCTGCTACTCAGTGGTCGTGTATTCATTTCTTTTTTTTTTTGGTAGGGGGTGGGATGCATCTTTTGCCCCAGCCATTGTTATCATTTAAAAGGCTTAAGTGCGCCGAAGATTTATATTTATATATTTGAAAGGACAGGCAGTGGGAATCTCAGTGTCCCTGCGACGAGAAAATAAGATAAACGTACACTTTATTGATTTTCCACTCGCATGTGCCGGCCAGTGTGTTTGCCTTTGGATGCTGTTGATGCTCTGTTGCCATGGACTGCATTCTCTGCCACAGCTTTTGCCCTTCTGTGGCGCAGTTTTGTCGCCTGCCCCAAAAAAGAAGGGGAGTTGGCAGCGGGATATGCACGGTGTGTAGGGTGTGTGGGTGGTATATATGGTGTGGGTGTACAGAGTGGGCTTAACTGGGCAGCCAACGCCTGCGCTTGATTCATCTGCCAGTTGATTGGTGTTTGTGCGAAAGTGTTGAAGCAGAACAACTGGGATTGAGTGGCCGCCATCCTTTATCCTCCAGCCTCACCCCTTGGGCTGTATGGTAAGCTTTATTTGTGCTGCCTACTTTGAGGCTGCACCGAGGGGCTCACAAATCGATCGTGCTGTCGGTTTCATATATTGGATTTCGACAAAGCCCATTTCGCAAATGCGTTTCATCAAAAGCCGCTCGGCTTTAAGAAGATTACTTTAATCTCCGTCCATTAAAATTATAATTTTTCAAAATGAGAAAATGTACATATTTTTGTAAATTTAAAAAAAAACTTAAAATGGTTTTTTAGTATTTCAAAAAGTTACCGCGTTTTGAGAAAAGTAGTCTTTGTATAAGGTAATCTTAATTTGACATTTTTGTTAAGTTTAATTTGTAACTTAAAACTTTATAAAAAAACAAAAATAAATAAAAAAATTTATTAACTTGCTGGATTTTTAAAAAGTCATGTTAACCTCTAGAAGAGGTTATATAGATTAGCATGGGTCCTAAGGGCTTAAAATGTAATATAATTATTTTTTTTACCAGGTATTATGTTGGGTTATTACAAAGAAAATGTAGTGCCATTCCAGCACACTTATTTTTCCAAGACAATCTTTTCGGTGTTATGTAAGTCCCATAACCTAAAGCGTATGTTGAACCCCATTAAATTAATTGCTGTTCTCGTTTGAAATTATCGTTAATTAAATTCGCACCCTTTGTCTTCTTGTCTATTCTTCCCATATTTTTGGTTTTTTGGCAACCTTCCTGATTACGCTGTCTAAAATTGTGTCGGCATCTCTTTTTTTTTGGATTTATGAGGTGTTGCTGATTATTCTCGGTGCCGCACGATAAATATGCATATATATATATATATATATAAATCTATATAGCCCAAATGGTGCAACTGGGCAAATATAGTAGGCGTCTAACCGTTGCCAAAAGTTCCAGTCTTGGCCAGCTCGTAAATAATATTTGTTTAGAGATATTTTTGCCTTAATGCTTGTTTGTTTCCTATTACTCTGGGCCGGCTCGTTTATCATCTTGGCCAAAGCCTGCAGTTTGGGAGGCTGCAGGAGCAAAAAGGACTTGCGAGTGGCCCAGCATGCATTCAATTAGCGCCTGGCAAGATTCGGATTTTCGTCGTGCCATATAATCATAAGGCTCATAATTTTCCAAGTTTCTTTTTGAAATATTGGTCAAGATCGTCGGATAGTTAAAATTAAGTTTGCAAGTAGTTTTTGGAGGTTCAATTTATTAAAATGAAAACTATAAAGACTACAAACTATTATCAAAGAATGTGTGAATAGTTTATAATTTTTTTAATAACTTTATTAGTATAATTTTTAATGATTTTTTAAAGTCAAACCAAAGCTCACCGATAAACGTTTATACTGATTTCTGCTGACATCTCTAGCCAGTACTGTGATGTTGTGAAAGAGGGAGGTCCATTCTGTTATACAAACAAAATAGAAGTTGATGTCACACTCACTTACACCTGCCAGGGTCTTCAAAGCGTTGTCAAACGCTTGCCACTCTTGTCTATGGCAAGAGGTAAGTGAAATTTCCGGGTGAATCCCCAACCAGGATCCCCTCCGATTCCCCATCCTTGTGGCAATCAGTAGCTGGCTATTTTCTCACCTGGCCACTTGGCGCTTATACATGGCCCGCTGCTGGTTAGTTGGCATTTAATGGCATTTGACACTCTTCACGGTGTCTGCAAGCAAAAACATCACGAGCAAATACAAAATAAAAGGAAAAAAAACGGGTAAGAACGTTAAATTGTCGAGTAACCCGACCGTAAAATACCCGGCACTTGGTTCGTTAGAGAATTGCCTACTATTTGGAGTCTTCATTCAGAAAATATTCTACAGGCTATATGAAATGTGATAGTGCAACAACCAGTGCTGCCATTAAAAAAGTACAGATGTGAAATAAAATGGAAACCAAGAACAATTCATTTTACTTTAAAACACAGAAAGCAGGATACAGGGAAATATTTCTTGAAAATTTAATTTAAACAGAGTTTTTATGGCTATACTTTTCAAAAAAATAAAAGGTCTGTGCTGCAAAAGTCTAGATAAGACAACCCCGGTAAAGAAATTACCTCAACAAATTATTTTTCTTGTTCTTATGATGCTAAGAATTTTCTCACTTACCTGCAGTAAGAAATACTTGTGATTTAAACACAAAAGAATGACGAATTATAATAAAATCTGCAGACAAATATTATAATAAATGAAATGAACTATGAAAATTCTTGAGCTTCCTATATACTGCTCCTTTGGAATAAATTTCCTGGATTACAATATACCCGCGGGAATACCGCGTAAAAAATAGGATAAAGGAGAGTAAAATAAACGTAATGGAAATATTGCTAAGAAAATCAATAGAAAACGGTAAAGGAGATAGAAGGACAGCAACCAGGCTGCATGGAGCCGGTCGAGCACTCGCCTAATGAAGTTGTCCTTAAATCGGGGAAGGCATCGAAGGACCTCGGTGGCGGGTTAAGAAATAGGAAGCGAGTGCCGGGGTCCTCAGACAACAGCAATAACAACATCAATGCACTTAATGCTCTTGTTTGCTTAACTTTATTTGATGTCCTGGCCTTGCTTATTTTTCCCATACTCTGCGTTCCATATATGTATGTATCAGCAAAAAGCCACGCAATTTGCCATGGCTTTTGTCTTTTGCCATATGTACAAATTCAGGATATGTAATTTCAAGACAGAAGAAAATTCCGATTAGAGGGCCACTGATTTCAGATTGCTGATTATATCTTTGGAATGTTGCGCTTGTAATCTGCAGACATTCGCTTAAAGTCAGCCGACTTTAAATACAATAGAAAACGTGTTTTAATGATGTAGAAAAAAATAATTTTTTAAATGATTTGTTAAGCCCTCAAGCTCAGGCTTGCAAAACGTATTTAATTATTCAGCATGTTTATACGCACTCTAACTTTCGCTGTTATTTTCCTGGACGGGCTTGTTATTGTTTTTCCAGCGATGACTATGTTGTTTACAAATGAACGCAGCTTACGCAGCACGAACAGCAGGACAAGGACTTTTCCCTGCCATCCACATGCTGACCCCTGGTTCTCGTAAAAAAATAAAAAATATAAAAAGTAAATGGTAAATGAAGAGAAAGAGGAGGGATTTAATAAAAACAGGACATCAACTTGCTGGTCTCGAGTGTAATGTATTTAGCGTTCACAGAGAAAATTCTGACGTTCTAATCTGAGTTGAAAATGTTCTTAAAAATAGAACGACATTTTTAAGTTGAAAATGTTTTTATTTTGCTCCAATCAAGTTGAATTGGCGGTATTTAAGTAAATTGTATGTACAAATAAACTATTAGTTCAGTCCTTAGTGTATACTTATCAAAAAGTTGTTAAATAAACTCAATTTAACTTTTCTCTTCTCACCATTTCGTTCTTATATTGATACCAAAATGTACTTACACGGTTTTTAAGAACGAATGTTCTCAATTCAAGAACAATGTTCTCAATTCAAGAATAATGTGATCAATTCAAGAACAATGTTCTTAGATAGTTTTCTCTGTGTTGGTATATTATAAAGAATATATTCGCTGTGCAATATGGCTTTTGCCATAGTTGCCTTGCACCGAACACTTGGCTTATTTTGCGGTCAAATTAATGCAGCTGCAGGAGGCAGGACAGCCGGGATGTCTGGAACTCGTTCACGGTGCATGTATTTTTAATTAATTGCAGGCCTGCCCCCCATACTCCTCCTTCTTTTCCACCGCATCCGAGTGCCATGAGTTGAGTTGGCCTGGCCATCGCATGCCATGTCCTCCCATGTGGTCAGATACGCCCCTCGTCCTTCGTCCTTCGTCCTTCGCCCGTGTCCGTGTGCGCTCCTGTTTTCTTGCCAAGGAACTCCTGATACATTAATAGGTTTATTTCCACTTTTTTGAGTATCCTGCATTGGCATGGCTACTGGAGCCAGAGACGTCGATATCAATTATGGAAGACGGGAATTGATTATTACTTATAACTTAAGTAACTGATTTAAATTAGTTATTGTTTGCGGAAGTCCAATTAGACATTTAAAAGCAGGCTTTATAGAAATTACTTTATTGAAATTATTTTAAAGTCTGAAGAAAGCGTTATATTTCCTGGGATTGGTCTACTTTTTAGTTCTCCGCTGCCATTTTGTCATACATGTGAGATACCAAATGTGTTATACACTATAAGAAAGTTTTTGTCTTTAAAAATGATTCGGTTTTGTCTTTAAAAATAGATACGACCTTTTTTTGTTAAAGAATAGTTTTAGCCCACTCGAGGTCATGTCGGCTTGGACATTAAGAAGTCCAAGTCTGGACATTATGCCAACACACAAAAAGGATTGAAGAGGCCTCACTGTACTTGCATGTATCATGTAGAAGTATGCATAATCTGCATCGGGAACTGTGATAGAGATCCAAGCACATCACAGTCCAACAACACACTAAGGGCTTGATCAGTTTTCCAAAGCTAACCGCTCTGGTGGCGTTATAATTCCCAACTTGTTATAGCGCTGCTGGGTAAACCAGTTCGATCGATAATCAAGACAGTAATTTTTCTCCTAATGATTGTAGTCGCCCGCATGAAACATGTACAGTGAAGCTCATTGCTTCTTTTGTGTGTTGGCATTAAGTCGAGACTAAGACTCGACATGACCTCGAGTTGGCTAAAACTTATTTCTATTTTTATAAATTTCAAAATGAAGCACTGAGAAAAACTTTTTGTCTGCATTAACAAATGTTCTTCTTTTTGAGGTGAAACAAATAGGGGATAGTTGACTGTCCCAATTTGTAAGTGGCGGTCTTACAGCGAGGTTCGATGATAACAACAAGTTTTTTTTACCCGTTTCTATACGACTTTAAAGTTCTCTATTACTGCTACTTTAATAATTCCTAAACAATATTTTTAGATGTTTAAATATTTTTGAAAATACGATTTTTAAAGCATCAGTTTTTAACTTGCAGACCAGCTAGTAATACCTAATTTTAAAAAATATTTCAACATTTAAAAATATTGCTAAGGTGTTTTGAAGTCGGATAAAAACGGGTAAAAAAACTTGTTGTTATCATCATTTCTCGCTATATGACCGCAACCCACTGCCACCGCCGCCGTCACAAGCAGCGCTACATCACTTGCGGTTAATTGTAATTAAAGTTCAGTGGTATGCTCCAAAGCACACATGTTGTTGCCCCCTTTCCAATGGCAAAGTTTTCTGCGTGGTGGCCACCGCAAAATACCACACCATAGGATATCCTGTGCGAGCTCAGCATTCCATGTTCATGATGTCACAAGTAAGGCAAACAACTTGAAACAATTCGATACGCAACACACATTGTTGTTTGTCTGCCCACCAGCCAGTCTTCATATGTAATTTTGGCAAACAAAATTCCTGTGACGACAAACGACTTGGACGACGACTATTATTCCCATAAGCCCCTTCCAAAAAAAAAACAATGCCGGAAACGAAGACGAAGACGCTCTGCAGCCCCAGCAATGGCCTCGACCAAGAGGACGAGGCCGACGTCATTGCAGCTGCCAATCGCCTGGTCACTCGCACCCGCAGTCCCACCCAAAGCCACCCACAACCACACCCACGCCCACGCCACCCACATCGCCAGCGTCCGCCGCAAGGTCGTCGGGATGCCGCCGGCTTTACGGCCAACCAGGAGGTGCGGCTGAAGGCCGGCGACATGCGCATGGCCCGGATGCAGATCGGTCTCTCCCAGCTGCGCACCGAAATGGAGGAGTCGAGCAAGCAGCTCAGGGATCTCTGCAAGGCGATGCGGGTCGATGTGGACGCCGAGTAAAATTTTGGGACATATCCCTAAATATAATAGGAGAGATCCATGAAATATCGAATTATGCAAGATGGAGGAACCTCTGCAAGGCGATGCAGGTCAATGTGCATGCTGAGTAATGATTTGGGGACTGTCCTTAAAAATGCTAGGAAGGATACATGAAATTTGGAATAACGCAGCTGAGATGGAGGGTCTATGTGAATGCTGAGTAACATTTTTGGGACTATCCTTCAATATACTACGAGGGGTATATGAAATTAATAATACTGAACCTAGAATGTAGTCAAATTTAAATGTTTTTCTTAAAATATTCGTGTTCAGTAAATTTTTGTAAAGATAATAGAATTTGTTTTTCTTTCATACCGAGCGTCCGTTAGGAATTGTAATATGGGACCTTTATTTTAAAAGTTCTATTGAGATTATTTTTTTATTTTTATATACCAAATTGGCTAAATTGTATCCAAAAGAGTACATAAAGTTTTCTTTATTATCCAATTTTGATGATTCTTACATACTTTGTGAAAAAGAGTGCTATTTCAGTCTTTGGAACATAAAAATCTCAGCACTGTTTTAAAATTGTAAGTCTCAAACACATCTTATTTGCGGTCCCTGCTTGTAACAGTCCTAAAAGTCGTTCTTTATCTTAACTTTGAAAATACATTGCGGTTAAAAATGTATTCCATAGTTAAGAAAAATCGTTGGTCACGCCTTTTCAATAGTAAATTTCACAAAACCAACGAACAAATTTTTCTTATTTTTCTTCAAAATTAATAAAACTAATTTTTTTTTGCTAAAAAAAAATTGGTAAAATATTTGTTGAAATACCAAATGTTGCTTACATAAAAAGTTGACTGGTAAATAGAATAAGAAATTCCGATTAAGAATTTTAATTCCTAAACATATTTTTAGGGAATTTCCTAAACCTAAAACTTCAAACAAAGTAAGATTTTTGACAATAAAAAACACATACTTAAATGTACTCTTCAATTTTATCTTGCAGGCTGGATGGATTCCAAGTCAAATTCATTTATGAGTTTTAGCATTAAAACTACCGAAGCTCATTCGAAGCCCACCAAAAAGCACTCGGCTGTTGTTCCGCGGAGCCTACAAAAGGATACAGGTAAATACATATACATAAAAGTTGCATTCATATGTTAATAAACCCTGTAAACCCTGCTTTCTCATAATTCCCGACCCCAAATCCGATTCGCACTTGGGAGTTTGGTTGGGGAAAGCGTGATGGCTTGATTTAAATTAAAAATTTATTGCATATTTTTTTGCTCCACCCATCATTGCATATTGCCACGATGTGTGTGGGGGGGCCCAGAAAAAATATAAAAAATGTGCAAGTTTGTATTTAAATTTATATAGACGTGTGTGTGTATAAATTAAATTTGTGTGCGCACAGGGCCAACAACCGGCAACATGCATGAACATGCCATGAACTCGAATTTCCAACGCCAACGGGTTAAGGATGTCCTGGCCGGGGGAAAACTGAAAGATATGTAGGTACATTTGTGGGGTAGAGAGGTGCATATAAAGCGAAGGTATACACATACTCGTCCTGAAAGGCAAAGGAGCTCCACGGTGGGTGCTCTCCGTTGAGTTAAGGGTCTGGCGGTCTGGCACTTCAGCAACCGTTTTGATTACTCGCATGTTTTCGCGTGCAACTAAATTAGCGCACGTGTAATCAAGTTCTTTTCGTTGAAAAACAACGAAAAAATATGGAAAATGTACATTGAAGCTTGTATGAACCTCTCGGAACCCCTGAATCTCCTTCCTCTTTGCACACAAAATCCCCATCCATTAACCTCTGGCCCCTCGACTCCGGGCTCATATTTTTGTGCCACGTTTGTTGACGGCAGGATGTTTAAACTAAAGTAATTGATGTCCCCTTGGATGACATATTTCACAAAAAGTGGAAATTCGGCAATAAATCATTACATTTATGGTATAAAATATTCAACAGAATGGTTAGGAACATGCTGCATTAGGTTACATATTTTCCCATTGTGTTGAACTTTTCCTTAGCTGCAGTCTCTTTTATTCAAACTAGTCATATTTGCATAAAACGGTAGAAACGCACGTATAATCCATTAATATGAAACTTTAAGTTGTTTTTTTTAGAAAGAGAGAATAGATGGCGCCCAAGGTGGTACATTAGGAAAACTTGTTTTTATTACAAACATAGTTTGCATACTTTTCGCAAACGTATAACCCTAATAACACCAGTTTACAAAAAAAAATTGATGAAATACGCCTTTCAGGAAACCTTTGTTTTCCGGTAAGATACATCTCCCTGATTAAGAAAAGGGCACTTAAAATTTTTTCTATGGTACCAATTTTTTTTAAAGTGTAAAAAACGTTTTTCGCACTTTTTTATTTTATAACTTGAGTTGTGATAAACCGAATTCGGTCATTAAGGACTCATTTTACAGGTTATAGAATGCCCTTTAACTTTCTTATACACATCATTAAGTTCCATTCATTAGTTCAAAAGCTACACTTCGTCAAAGTTGAAAAATTTGGAAAAAAATCAAAAACGCTGGCATAAATGGCTTCTTTAAAAATACACGCGTAAAAACCGAAATTAGTTTTACGTTGTTTTCTTGATGGCTGAACCATAACGGAGAATATGCGCCATAGATCACGACAATCCGTTGGTAAATCGATTTTTAACAGATTTTTAAACGTATATACCCAAGTTCATTATTCGGGAGCAGCGGCCGTTAAACGTTATTTTAAATTTTCAGTGTTGGGGAACGTAAGAATTTGGTGCAAGTTGTTATGCATAACGTCAGTTTCTTTGCTATTAGCGCTGGGCAAGCTAAAGAGTATGCGATTGCAGTTACGAGGAAATCATTTTCATATATTTTTAGCAAGGAAACTGACGTTATGCATAACAACTTGCACCAAATTCTTACGTTCCCCAACACTGAAAATTTAAAATAACGTTTAACGGCCGCTGCTCCCGAATAATGAACTTGGGTATATACGTTTAAAAATCTGTTAAAAATCGATTTACCAACGGATTGTCGTGATCTATGGCGCATATTCTCCGTTATGGTTCAGCCATCAAGAAAACAACGTAAAACTAATTTCGGTTTTTACGCGTGTATTTTTAAAGAAGCCATTTATGCCAGCGTTTTTGATTTTTTTCCAAATTTTTCAACTTTGACGAAGTGTAGCTTTTGAACTAATGAATGGAACTTAATGATGTGTATAAGAAAGTTAAAGGGCATTCTATAACCTGTAAAATGAGTCCTTAATGACCGAATTCGGTTTATCACAACTCAAGTTATAAAATAAAAAAGTGCGAAAAACGTTTTTTACACTTTAAAAAAAATTGGTACCATAGAAAAAATTTTAAGTGCCCTTTTCTTAATCAGGGAGATGTATCTTACCGGAAAACAAAGGTTTCCTGAAAGGCGTATTTCATCAATTTTCTTTTGTAAACTGGTGTAATGTGAGCAATGAGAAATGTATAGAACAGTGAAAAAACAGAAGTTGAATTAATTTGCTATTATCTCTACAAAAAAACACATGCTGACTCTTTATCAACCTTGATAAGCAACAGTAAATCTGTTTTTATGAGCCATTCAATATCGTCTACTAATATATCACATCGGTTGCAATATGAAGATGATGAAATTAGCACATGTTGTAATCAGAGGACAAAAATACACCATAAAAACATATTTCTAAAAGATTTCCTGTTCCTTATGAAGGTTGAACCAATATTTTAATTTGTTTAATTTTAAAAGAAAACACATTGACTGCATTGGTATACAACCTTCAACTAAGCAAATGTAGCTTAGTTTGTAGTTTTATTTATAATCCATTATGTTAGGATCTGGAACGGATCTGTTGCATACGGGATAATTTTTCCGCTTGCGGTGATTCTAGCTCTCAATTTCCTATTTATTATATACTCGATTAAGGATCGAAATTTTCCAAGTGGTACAAAAGAGGGGAAATCCTGCTCATCCATCGACATGTTTTTCACTTCATAGTTTACGTGCTGTGGAAGAACATAGATACAATTTTTTTTCTTAACTTTTTTTTTAAATATACTTACAGCTTTAAAGGGGCACTGAAATTTCACATTTGAGTGTTTCTTCAAATTTTTCACATACATATTGAACAAACGGTTTTTGTTAGCATGTTCCAGTATGTAACATCCATCGAACTCAACATCATACAGTTTCATTTTCTGTTTACTGTTCAGCTTATAAAAATCCAGGGCAGCATGCACACTAATTTCATCAACCGTTCGTGTGAAAGTATGACTCGAGGTCATGTAGGTGCGATTGTTCACGTGGTACACCTCGCAATCAAATTGTTCATAAACATCTCGATCAAGATTAGTTATGTTAACTTGGTCAACGATGACTCGAAAATTTCGATCTTCACTTTTCATACATTTCAGTATGAGAAAGAAGCACCAGATCCAAAACCAAAAATTCATGACTGCCGTTAAAAACGTACTGTTGACTGAATTATTGCCATTGAGTTTATAAAATGAAAAATTATTTTCAAAAAGCCTTTAAATGTTATGGTTCTGTTTTGACACTTTATTGCCCATTAAAATTTATTAAAACAATTCATTTAATTAGTGTACACGGGATGCCATTAGTATAGGTGGACTTTGTTTTGAAAATAAACATTTCGTTAACGACCCGATCGACTACGAACTACACGACCATGGATAGTTAATTGAATGGCTTTGCGTTTTTTAGCAAATATATGGCAGTCGGATATAAAGTTCAATTCTGGCGCATAGCTGGGTATTAGCTTTGAGTTGATCTTAAAACCATCAATGTAAAACCTCTTATTCTTCAAAGAAAGAAAAAAATAATCTATAAGGGCATATATTTTATTAACTTATATTAACTCACCTTTTTAAACGGACATTGCAGGGGAAAATTTGAAACTCGCCGCAGCTCATCGGCAATCATCTTTAGTAAAAACTGTGTTTGTAGAGAATCTAAGACCTGGCAGAAGTCCAATTCCATTGCAGTATAGTTGGTTATGTGTGCGCCTCGTTTCAGGGAAAATACGTAAATGCCTTTGACGTCACTAACATCTTCTGACAGGGCAAATTCTGCAAAGTATGATGATGATCCAGAATCTTTGGATGTTCGATTTAAATGACAGCTAGCATTTTTCACAAGCTCTGGATAATAGGTGGTACACTTAATTTGTGTCATGTATGCTTCCATCTTGTTAAAAAAAATATATTTTTAAAGTTACATTTTTGAGTTCCATTAGACAATACTTACTCTCGCCCAGGAACGGCTTAGAATAATGGTACACAAAATCAGGACAATCGCAGATAGAATGTTTCGAGGTTTCATTTTAGCGAATAAATAGTTTATGACTACATCAAAATGTGAAATTTGGTTAAATCTGCACTCTTTATTGAAAACGAAAAATAAATAATGAATTTTTGATTGGTTTTGAATTACATGCTAACTCTGTTGCTAATGGCTTTAAAAAAGTTAAATTTGGTTTTTCTATACATAAGCATGAAATGAGGAATTATAATGAAATAATAAAATAAAATAAAATCGGTGATGTATATTGTTGATTGATATGTCACACTTGGTTTTATGCATTGGAACTCTATTTCTGTATTCATTATATCTGGCTTACATTGTTCATAGTCTACGTGTGACTTTTCCGCGGGTTATTACACGAGATGCAATCAAGGATTTGTTTAAATAAAAATCGCTTAGGCTTCGGAATGTTCCAGAGGGCACAGACGAGGGAAAATCCTGCTCGTCCATATAGAGTCCTTTCAGAGTGTAATTAAAGTTCTGAAGAATAAATATTCCTAATTAAATTTATTGTCTTATGATGGTTTTTTGGTCAAAAGTTGTACGCACCGCTTTGAGAGGACATTGCATGTTGGATTGTTTTTTAAAGTTCTTTGAATACAGATTCAAAAATCGATTTTTATGAAAACTTCCCATAAGAAGACAAGCATCCAATCGAACATCGTATAACTTCATTGTTGGGCCATTTAACTTCCTAAAATCCAATGCTGTCCGAACATCAACTTTAACGATTTCGCGATTTAGCAACATTTGGCAATTTACGTAACTGCGATTATCAATTTGCAAAATTTGGCAACCCAACTTTTCGATTGCCTCCTTGTTCAAAATTTTAGTGCTGACATCATCAAGGATTATTTGAAAGTTTCTCTGCGATGCGCTTACACAACTAATAATTAAAAACCACCGTTTCCAGAACAAAGCTTTCATTTTATTGTTATATTGCAATGCTAACTAAAGCTTTATTTAATGATTATTTTGACAATTTGCTGAACAAGTAATTTTGTATGAAGTTTTTCAATTTGTCATTTTACCTTTTATACCAGCTACCATTAATGCATGTATAATATATAAAATATATTTCTTATCAAATGTTCTGATTAAATTACTATTTTAAAAAAATAATTAGAAAAAAACAATGAAACATTAATACAAGCTGAAATGATATGAAACATTTTCAAATTTTACTCTTATATAAAATTGTCTATTCGTTTTAGTAATTTATCAGGACATTTCGCAATAAAGAAATCCAAGATTAAAAATAAACGTTTGCCAAGGTTGGCTTTAATTTCATTTATTATTTTTTTTATTGGCTATGTTTATTTTATTTAAAAACAAGAGAGAACGCTTTAGTCGATGAGAGAGTGCGAGGGAAATAGATATATTCAAGTAGAAATCCGCCTGCTACCAAGAATGCACACTTTATTTGCTTATATCTTTTTAATATATTGACCGAATTTAACAATTTTTATGATGTAGTTGGACATTAATAATCAAAACAAAATCTCATTTAAATTTTTAGAAAATATAAAAAAACGAAGGTGCTAAACGGTTTTTAGCGTAGTGTGCATTTGTGGTCGTTAGAGTGGGCTTGGCACCCTGCTTAAAAAACATCAAGAATATATAAACTTTATGGTGTCAGATACGCTTCCTTCTACATGTTACACACTTTCCGACGAATCTAGTATTCCCTTTTACTCTACGAGTAACGGGTATAAAAAACTAATGCAGTTGCCCTTTACTTATTGGCAATTACTTTTCCTTGCGTTACGATCCGTAATGCTAATCGCTCTTGGGTAAAATACTCGGTAATAGTGCGAAATGTACCAAAAGGAACAAACGGAGGAAGATCCTTTTCATCCATATGCCAGTTTCTCAAGGTATAGCTGTAATTCTAAGAAAATGTATACATTGTTGACTTAATTAAAATCGTAATAACTGGTTGTTGCTTACCATTTTTAAGGGACACGCAAGGTTAGCATTTGTGTGTTTCCTAAAGCTTTTTACGTAGATATTGAACAATCCATTCTTATGGGCAGTCCTCAGGAACTGACATGCATCCAAGCGACCATCATATAATTTGAGTTTCTTTTTATTACTTGACTTCCAAAAATCCATAGCTGTGTGCATCAGTATATCCTTCACATCAGACTTCAGCATCATCTCACCATTAACATAGCTCCGATTGTTAAGATGAATGATGCGGAAATCAATATTGTCGATTAAATCGCGTAGCTTATATTTTACTGAAAACTCATCTATCTTTATTTTAAAGATGCGCTCCTCACTTTTTAAGCAAATGTGGTTGTTGAACCACAATATCCAGAACAAAGCATATGTGACCAATGCTTTCATTTTAATGTCACTCGATTACTACTTGGAGTGCTGCTTTAATACACATAAAATTATTCTACACACTTTATAAGTACATCCGGCCAATTGAGAACTCGTTGCTGGGTAATAAAATAATTTTCACAAATTGGGATAGTTTTTGTAGATAAAAGCTTAAAAAATACATTATTTCCACGATTTAGAGCTGCGACTTTCTGTCCATCCGTATGAATGCTGAGATATCGGAAACTATAAAAGTTAAAAGATTTGATTTTAAATTTACTCATATTGCAAAGCCATGTTTTCATCTTTTTTAGTTTCATCGCAAGAAATTAAATTTTTGGCAAAACCTTGCCATGTGCAACAACACGTATTGCCAATCGCTTTTGGGTGAAAAATTCAGTGATCGTTCGAAATGTACCGGGTGGCACAAAAAGTGGTAGATCATTTTCATCCACAAACCAATCTACCATCTTGTAGCTGAAATTCTGAAAAAATTTAGATCCTTAGATTGGTTCCATTCTAACATAATTTAACGGACCGCCTTTAATGGACACTTCAAAATAACATTAGCGTGCTTTTTAAAGCTCTTCACATAGAAATTAAACAGTTTATTTTTGTTAATATTTCGAAGTAAGTTACATCCATCCACACGAACATCGTACAATTTCATATTTGTTTGAGCGTTTTGTTTCCAAAACTCCATAATGGCTCGAACATTCAAATCGGTAATATCCCTTTTAAGTATAATCTCCGCGTTGATGTAGCTCCGATTGTTCAATTGAGCCAAAGTAGAATCCATCTTTTCAAAAATATCCGGCACCTTATACTTGATCGAAAGTTCGTCAAAGTAGATTCGAAAGCTGCGTTTATCGCTAGTAGCCAAGTCCATTAGGACGTATATTCCACATATCAAATACGACGTTTTCATGGCAAATGTTTTTGATATAATGCTGTTGAATTTTTATTAGAATCAATAAACTTTTTTCAGTATAATTAATTTTATTTTGGGTGGCTCTATTTGATATTATTTTAATGATTATAACTAGGGTACGAGTACTATTATCTCAATGTGATCGTTGAAGCGAATAAATTGGACTTAAACTTTATCCCAATAAATTATTTTATTTATTTTATAATGTTATGTTTCCCTTTGTTAAGAATTAAAAAAAAAATTTTTCCTTCTCATTGCATTTATGTATATTGCAATTGCTTTGGCTACAACATCTCCATGTACTTCAAAACGTGTTGCAAATCGTTTTTGGGTGAAATAATCAGTGACCGTTCTAAAAATTTACCGACCGGAACAAAAGGTGGCAGATAAAAAACCAATTTACCATCTTGTGTGTTTTTTAAAAAAGTTTTTATTCTTAATTTAATTTAACATACCGCTTTAAGTGGACACATCAAAATAACATGAGGGTGCTTTTTAAGTAATTTAATTACTTCTAAGTAATTTATACCCATCGTCGTACAATTTTGATTTTGTTTTAGCATTTGGTTTCTAAATCTCTATTATAGCTCGAACTTTAATATCGTTAATATCCCTATTAAGTATTATTTCAATGTTGACCAAGCTCCGATTTTTCACATGAGCCAAATGACAAACCATCCTTACAAAAATGGCTGGCACCTTATACTTGAATGCAAATTCATCAAAGTGAACCCGAATGTCAAGTCTTATGCCCTTATGACCAATGTTAATACTATAATGCTGATGAACTTTAAACTTTTAAGGCTTATTTACAAACTTATTTAATTTAAGATGTCAAGGCCTGATATTATTTAATTGTTATTGACAATTTTATAATAAGTAATTATTACTAATCTACGAATATTATTATGTAAATGTGCTTGTTCAAGCGAAAAACTAAACATTAATCTGTGATTCTCCTTTACTTCTAAAATAGTTTAAATATACTTAACAACTTGTTATAATGAACATAGTTTAAAATTCGCCCACCACTTTGGTTGATTTTAAAGCTTGCTTAATTGGACGGTAATTATTAAAATCATCCAACCAAATCGGTAATAGAAAATATATGCTCCACATACTGCAAAAATTACTTTTTTGAGTATACGCTAAACTTTTTTATTTGATTGAAAAAAAAAAACATCGGGATACTATAGTGTTAACGTTTGGTGAGCCATCTTCCATCAATTTGCATGTGAGCAAATAGCTTTGATTTTTGTTGAAAAGATATTTTCATGCGAAAAGTGCAGTCCGGAAGCAGATCTGGTAACATATCTTCGTCGACATAGGCCCTAGTTAGGGTGTAGTTAAAATTCTAGAACACATGAAAAGAAAAGTTACTTTTTAATTACCAGTACCAGAAAATGTTGGCCTATATTTATAGGATGATTAACTTAAAGAAGTTCCAAAAAGTATGCTATAATTTTAAAACAAGATCAGGATTCCTTAAAGTTAAAAAAATGTGTATAAAATTTAAATTCATTTAAACTTACCGGCTTAAGTGGGCACTTGGGTTTGGTATTAAGGAACTCCGCATAGTTATTGTAAAGCATTCTGATAAACCTATTCTTATAAGCATTATTCAAGATGGAACAAAAGTTCAATTTCACAGTATAGAGGCGCATATCCGGTCGAGGTGGACGCATTATGTCCATTGACGAAACAAGTGTTAGATCATTGACCAACCGATTGATTACAATGTGCCCCGAGAGATAACTGCGATTCGACTCCTGTTCGACAACAGCACTTTGGGATAGGAACAGGTCGTGATCATCGACAATGAACGTGAATCGATCCACCAACACCACGTGGGCACTAAAAAAGCAGTTGATCAGCGAACTGAAAACGAGAAGGCTAAGCTTGCGGAAAGACATTCGGAAGACGGCTGACTTGGCCCCTGGATTACTGACTGGCTACGAACCAACTACTAATGGAGGATTCCATTGTGCTCGTAATTATGAGCTGACGGAGCAAGCCCTAATGGCTTTTTAAATGGTGTCGTCTGGTCTAAATTGCCGCAATCTCTCAATATGTCAACAATACGTATTCATATACACATAAATAATTTTTTCCATGTGTTTTTTTCTTAGTTCTTTTTGGGTCTTTGAGTCGCTTTCAGAAATGCAAAAAAAAACTGTATATGCTTGCACACAAAAGTAAAATGAAAATGTTTCACGTATGGAAAGATTGAGTTGAGAAGGCGGCTAAGTACATAAAAAGAGTAAAAAAAAGAAAGAAATCAAAAAAGGGGAAAATAAAGAGAAACCCTATTTTCTCGACGAAAGTGTTACTCAGTATCAAATGAGATATGAAACTTCTCATATTACATTTGATGTAAAAGTGGACGGTACGATGAAAACAAAAAAAAAACATTTCGGCATTTTTTATAACAATATATACTACTATCGAAATATGATAAGTCTTCTAACGAGATATGAAACTTCTCATATTACATTTGATGTAAAAGTGGACGGTACGATGAAAACAAAAAAAAAACATTTCGGCATTTTTTATAACAATATATACTACTATCGAAATATGATAAGTCTTCTAACGTATATTTGAAAGTTATTTGAAAAATGAAGTTTTATTTTTTAGTTATTTCAAATATGGTTTTATTAGAATTACTTTAAAACCACCGGCTTATAAGATAACAGGACTTATAAAATTTTTTGAGCCCAAGTATTTAAATCAGGTTCCTGGTAGCACATGTGATACATTTTAGGATTTGCTATGCCGAAGAAATTCACAAATCAAATTTTTGAAATCTTATTATATTTAGTCATATGCAAACCCTATAAAATCAATATTTTATGGTGTGTTTTTATTTCTCTAATAAAAAAACGTAAATCCTCGTAGGCCAAAAAAGTTTAATACTAAATATTGGCATGTCGAGTACACCTTTTCGTATCTCTCCGTGTTCAGGGCTCAGAACGCGACCCCAAGGATGTCAACAGAAATGTTAATAACACCAGCGCTGCCGCTGCAGCTGGAAGGATCCAAGGATGGGGTTGGCAACAAGGATGCAGATGGGCTGGATTGCCTGGCTTGGCTGCCAGCCGAGGCAAAAACAGTGGCCGTAAAACAGAAAGGCAAAGCGCAGCGGAGTGTGGGGAAAGTACGGGGAAAGTAAAGACGAGTAAGAGTAAGGCAACGCAGGCGGCCCAGTCGAGTGTAGTTCAAACATCACACCTACCGTCTGGGATCTGGAGAGTCTCGACTCGTCTGCGGATGGTGCTGCGGTCCATATTATGTAAACATTTGCTGGGCTTCAATCTTTATTTTTTCTGCTGCGTTGCCTCTCCTGTGGATCCCAGCTGGTTACCATGGTTCCTGGCGGAGTGCGTGTGGGGGTTTTTTGTACTTTTCTCCTTTTTCTGGCTTTGTGGACTCCTGTCTCAGGGCTCTCAATCGAAAACGTGTGCAAGTTTTTGGATGACACAACAGAAAGGCTTACGTTTCTTTTAACTAACGAAAAACCATTTTGACACTCAGTTTGGTAATTTATAAAACCCAGAGATTCACAATTAAAAATGATCTTAATTAAATGTAAATTCCTTGGGAAGAATCGTAGTTCAATTCAATGCAGTGCCCATTTCTTACATAATTTTAATTTTACTTGTTTATAACGCCATTGGCAAGTAAACACAGTAAAACACCAAATCTCAAATAGTTGATTGAAAGAGCAGAATTATTTATACTTGTTTAACAGTCGTGTAATTGGTTTGTCCAATTATATCTTACATTTCACTTAAAATGACAAATCAATAGCTTTTAGATTCAATATGCGTGCTGAGCTGCTTGATTTCCATGACCTGTTATTTTTCCTGGTGAAGAAAACAAACTAATTTTCCCATTTTCATATACCAATTTCCCTAAGTGACCAATTTGTCCGAGTGCAATTAACACAAGCCATCCGTGCTCCTTATGGGGGGGGAGGTCAGCAGGGGAAAATACTTCTAATGGCCAACGTGTACTTGGCAACAAAGTAAAAAGTTTGTTGCGTTGCATTTTAAATATCGAAGTGTATTATATTATGCAAATTTGTGCAATTTTCATTCATGCCTCCGTATATATGAATGTATGTATGATAGGACCAGCTGCAAACCGAGCACTGTTGAAACCACAGCGCCAGGCCTTAATTAGTCTTTGTGAGCGTGTGAGGCTCATTTCGTATGCAAATTGCAGTCGATTGGTTTCGCATTACATAATTAATAATTCATCGGGAATGCTTGTCAATCACACGCACGAGTACGCCCACCAAGGAACCCACACAAAAGACGAGCCATCGGAAATCCAAGTTGAAATCCTGATGTTTTAGCCATAGAAATAATATTAGGTTTGTAAAATAGGCAAGACTCTGCCACTAGTCTTATTACTATGGCTCTGTAATGCTATGCCTATGGTATTTGTTTTAAAAGGCATTTCAAGCGTAACTTTAAGGATAGACCGTTTGTATCTTCTAAAAATATTACCCATCGCACAGGGAAAAGTAAATATAACCACCGCACCTAAATATGCTAAATCCGTTTTAGATTCTCCGATTTGTGTGGTCTCCAAAATGGCCTCTGGTCCACCGTTTCTATACCCAATATCTGCGTCATGGCCGATGCTTGGGCCTATTGGTGCAATCAATAAATTTAACAGTCGAATACACAGGTGCTGGCATCAACAATTTACGCATCTAATGGCCGCCTGCAGTTGCCAACAAAAGGGGATGACAGTCAAAGAAGCAGAAATTCTCAATTTTCGGAATGAAATTTATTAATATTTACCGATAATTTTCTGGCCATTTAACTTCTTCACGTTTTAAAGACATGTACTTAAAAACCTAAATTTTCATCTTGATTAAACTAAGTTTAATGTAATATTTATTAGCCAACTGTATAGCTACAACAAGCATTACAGATGTTGATGAGAGTGCTTTGCAGCTGAATATTCGGTGCCTCACCCCGTTCACGAAAACCCAAGGTGTCCGCAAACACTCGTTAAAAATCACTTAAAATTCCATCATCATAAATTTGTCAAAAAATTCACTCACTTGCTCTGAGCGAAGCTTTAACGTGTCGACATTGATGCTGTCTTTTGTCTACTATCACACTCCCTTCCTCTGTTTTGGGATTAGTTTTCCGACCACCACAATGGTCTTCATTTCCCAGCACAAATGTCTCTTCTGAATGTGCGGAAATCATTTTATAAAATTGTCTTGGCAAGGTCGTCGGAAAGTTAAGTTTTCCACAATATTTCAGATTTTACTTTGAAAGTTTTAAACATGAATTTTTTTTTTAAACTATGAATTTTATCCAAGTACTTTGGCAAGCCAATATTTGAATAAAAATTTTCTTGGCTACATCGGAAAAATTTAACATCTCTGTAGATTTCCTTGTTATCTTAATATATTCTTGGTATTGATTCCAATATTTGAATAAAAATTTTCTTGGCTACATCGGAAAAATTTAACATCTCTGTAGATTTCCTTGTTATCTTAATATATTCTTGGTATTGATTCTAAAACATCTTTATAAATGTTATATAAGACAGTGAAATAAATCAATATACCATTTGCTAGAGCGACCCATATTCTTTATCTTTGCAACAAAATTGATTTAAAATTAAATGCATCCTTACATTATCTTATATCTGACATTTTGGCCTCGGTGTGTATTCAGTTAAAAAAAATTTGGAACATGGAGCTCTAGCGCTGCCAAAGCCGAAAAACTTCTTCAAGACAAATGAGCTTTCCTTTAAGACCGTTCGCCGTCTAAGTTTTCTTATGACAACCTTTAGTTTATTACTTTTGGTTTATGTTTTCGTCAGTTGGCCGAATGTTTTATTTTAGCGGCCGTCGCAACAGCAGGGGGCAACTTACACGGAGCAGCGCCACATACCCCAAAGTTAACAGCTTTTTGTGGCAAGGTCTTTTTGGCCGTGGCTCCATGGTGACTTCAATTTTTGGCAACAAAACGCAGCTAAAACTTGCTGCAACAGCAAAAATAGAGAACAAAAAAAAAATAGGAAAAAAAATTACCCAAGGCAAAAAAGCAATAACAAAATATTATTATCAGAATCATTCATCATGTGGCTGCAGGCAATAAATTTTGGGCCAGCTCCCAAATGCAACAACAACCATAATGGCAGGGCCCAGAGAAGAAGAACTACAATTATTGTAGCAGTTGTAGGTAGGTAGGTAGGTATACCTATAGGTACACACAGAGCCCAGGCTTTTGGCTAACTGTTAATAAATCGCAGTGGCAGATATCAGCCAACAGTTAGCACAGTTAGCTGTGGCCCAACAGCAGCTGGTGATGTGGCGCCGCCTCCCAAAAAGTTCCACCCCTTTTACCGCCCATCGCCCATCGCCCAACGCCCCTGCCTTAACCGACCCCCCCATCTGAATCCCACCGCAGACGCATAAAAGTTCGGGGGCTTTACCCCCGAAACGAACTTTAACTTTAAGCGAGGCGTGGCCGGGGCTATAAAGCATTAACATAAAACTCCCAAAAATACAAAAGACGAAGGGAAAATAAGGCGAAATGAGAATAGTTACTGCTAAGAATTTCCCCTGCTTTTATATCAGGAGGCAGTCAGCTGCTCAGCCAAGCCGTAAATTTGCGCATTACTTAAACGGTCTCAATCTATTCGGGAGGCCAAAAGACAACTCAGAAAATGGGCTTTACTAAGATAAAAGATGGTAATGTATTTATTCTATTCGTATGGCTGTATACACAGTTTGAAATGGGGTGTTTAACATATTTTACTATGTAATTGATGTATATTTAAATAATATAATTGTTTTAATAAAATGAAAGGTATTCTGAAAAAACATGATAGTATTATAATAACGAACGCAACTCTTATATCCTTGTTATGTCTATAAATAAATGAATTTTAGAAATTCTGATGTAATGGAAGGGTTTTTCAGTTGTAGAAAGATAAATCTTATTTAAAAAATGTTCTGTAAAATTTCTTTTAAGAAATTTTGATTAAATTTAGATTGTTAAATTTAAATCGCTAAATGAGGAAGCAATTTAAATGTTTGTGCCCCTTAAATATTTCAAGAATACTTGATAATTAACTCTGTTAAGAATAAAAATGATTCACTTCATTTGATTCAATTAGCACAATAGTTCTAATTTTATAAAGATCAGTACAATTCTTCGGTTAAAACTACACGAATGCAGAGGCAGTAAACTTAAAGATAAGAACACTCCATATACTTTTGCAATGCACTCTTTTCTTTTTCATAAACGAGTTTACCCACTATTATTTTTTTCCAAATGGAAAAATAATGAACAATAGAGTCAGCAACTGTATTTCCGACTTAAGATTGGCTAATAATTATTGATTATCCAGTTGCCACTGGTTTAAGAGTAGTCTACCAATAATCTTTTAATGGGCCCAGCCAACACTTGGTTTCCTCTTATTTGCCATTGTCGCTTCTCAAGTTCCTCTTTGGGACACATTTTGCAAATTGATTTCGTTCTTCCACTTCCTTGCAGCCAGTACCGTTCTCATTTGTAATCATTATTATGGTCAAAGTAAACGAAATCGTCATCTCCAACTTCCCAGCACTATAATCATTTCAGTGGTACTCGTAGTTCAAGGAAAATCCATTTCCCAGCCCCAACCACCACGGATTCTCGCTCATCGTTATTCTCTTTGCCACTTGTTTGATAAATAATTGTTCGTCGTTTAGAGTAGGTAGGTACACATACACTATAAACATGCAAAGTTAAGAGCACATTGTATATTCTCGTGCCAGTCCAGGCCAGCGGGTGACCACATGCTGTGCCCCCCGATAATGCCATGTGCCCCTCTTCCATCTTGGCTAACGGCACTGGGCAACCGCATAGCCATATAGCCATAGTAGCCATAAGCTAGGCCATGTACTTTGAAAGCCCCTCACTGAGCCCTGACCACATCATCGAATGCAAAATGCGAAATGCAAAATGCAGAATGCGAAATTCGAAATGCAGAAGCGGCGTAATTGCCACCGCACCAGAGACCCAAAGCTGAAACCAATAAACCAGCACACGTCGATTAGTTGCACATGAGTGCGGCAACATCGGGTCTGGTCAGGTGGTTGAAGTATCCCCCCCCCTTTCCGGATTTCACCTTCGCTTCTGTGGCTGCTGCCAAGACTGACGGTTGACGAAACTACAGACAGTAAGTCCATTTAAGCCACGTCTTAAGAACGTCGGCTTTTGGCTATAATGCTTCTCAGGGTGACATGCAGCAGCTATAAAGGTTTTCCTTTTAGAACGCCTATTAAAACGATTTTCAAATATATGGGTAACTGAAATATCCTTTTCCATTGAATTGAATTGAATTCTTTTTAATTTACTAATGGCATTCTGTTGCTGCATGCCCTGCATATAAAATACCCGGGACTCACATTATTTGTGGCTTGCTTTAAAACAGTTGAAGAATAATATATGTATTTCTTTCCAAGCAAACCAAATCGCATTCGCTTTTAAAGATCGCTTTATTACTCACACCCTATAAAATATGCGCCTGGAATTTTAGAAATTCTGATGTAATGGAAGGGTTTTTCAGTTGTAGAAAGATAAATCTTATTTAAAAAATGTTCTGTAAAATTTCTTTTAAGAAATTTTGATTAAATTTAGATTGTTAAATTTAAATCGCTAAATGAGGAAGCAATTTAAATGTTTGTGCCCCTTAAATATTTCAAGAATACTTGATAATTAACTCTGTTAAGAATAAAAATGATTCACTTCATTTGATTCAATTAGCACAATAGTTCTAATTTTATAAAGATTTAAAATGATAATGTTAATATCTATTATAAGATGGTTCGGTTATGTGCCCCGAGCAAACACATGAGTTGCTTAGGCAAAGTTTTGACCCACGTTAACCCAAGCTTTTGACCCGACTGTCCGGCAGTGTCACCCTGCCTATAAAAAGAGGAGGTGGAGTCTATGGGGGGGCATGAATTGCCAATATTTGCGTAACAGAGGCGGCTTATGGGCACGACGCTCCATCGCCCATAGTCTATAAGGCTAACCGAACCCAACTAACCTAAACCGGCGATTGCTCATTTGCTATCAACGAGGAGCGCCTTCACCGCATTCCATGCGACGGAGCAGAGAACGGCCATGAATTTTGCATTTTCAGTGTGCGTGTGTATTTTTAGCTGGGT